ACCTGCCCCTACCTGCCACATACCCAGTAAATCCCAATAAAAAACCTGCAAATACCACTTAGGGTCTCCAGGACTCTTTCCTCCTTTACCCTAGTCTGCATGGGATCATAGAAAACCTGCTCAGTGGTCCTTATTGCCACTGCGGCTACAAATACACTTTAGAAATCATTGTATTAGATCTAAGGATAAAGTGCTATAAAAAACCACGTTGAAGGTAAGGAGGGTCAGAGAAAATTATTACTATTATTGAGGTGAGGAAGTGAGTCAGTGGCAGTAGAAATACAAAGGAAGACAATTGAACACATCTTGGAAATTTTTAGATACTTATGAAGAAAAGGTATTAGTAGAAGTTGAATCTAAAATTTGAGGAAAATATTAATAATACCAACAGAGATGGCAAACAAGATAAAATGTATGTAAACATATTTGAGAGATATTAAAAAAACATACATAAAATTAGGAAGACAGTGGTAATATCAATCCAAATCTCAGGAAAGATATTAACAATGACAAGAATGAATTTTACATCAGTTATTCAAGTTGAATGTATGACTTGCTTTAAAACTCAATGACAAATCAAAGGAGAAGGGATGTGGTTGGGGTAGGGACAACCAAAGGAATATTGGGGCAGGGGGTGCGATTAAGCACAACACAATTAAAGCAGACTAAAGAGATTGAGAAATTAGAGCTATAAATTTAGAGAGAATCAAGAGGAAGTGATTTCTTGCAAGTCAAAGTAGGAACAGAACTGCTTACAGCATCAGATTTTACTTAGAAATGAAAGGGAATGATGAGGTTTTAGAAGGATCTAGTAGCTTTGTAAATTACTTGGGATCTATGTAAGAAATTCCATATTCAGTTAGTCTCTAACTCAGCTGCACATTTGTCCTGGGGTCTCTTAAGTTTATGAAGTATACTTTAGGCTACAATAATCAGGCTACTCCTCTTTCAATAGATTGATGTCTTCCTCTTCTTACCTTGACACACCAATTTTCCAAACAAGTGCAAAAGAGATCTTTATAAAAATAAAATCCAAATTTGATCACTCTTTGAGTACAATCAAGAATAGCGTGAATGATCTGATTGTGCCTCATGTCTCTCCAGATCTTATGTAAATCCTAGCCCTTCATCTTTATCCTCCTGGCATCTAGGACATCCATGTTTTGAATGTATCCCACTCTGTCTTTTCTGTCTTACCTTTCCATTAAAATAATGTTTCAACTCTACTCACCTCTACACATCTGACTTTCTCCTATATGTGTTTGATTCACTACTCCTGGAAAAAGTTTCTTAAATTAACACAGCTCTCCAATATACTCTGAGGGCTCCTCTACTTTCAGGGGTTTCCACAGTTGGCTTGGGAATATGACTTGTCACATTTTCAGAATTTTAAAATTGGTTAAGCATAGACATTATTAAAAGTTGAATTACATAAGCTGTCAGATATGTACTTTCACTATTCAAAAATAATTTTTGGAATCCATTACTTCTAATTATTTTTACTTCATTTTACTAGTTTCCAGTATCTTGAGATTATTTGCATCTACTGTGTTTGCAGGGTGCAAATGTCATAAAATTGTTTTATTCTACATCTCTTTCCAAAGTCACATTCAGTAAAATTCTGGCATGCTATCATGCCAGAAACTTCAAATTGGCCATGGTATAATAATTTGGCAAATGTTACAAATCAGGAATTCTCCTTCACCCCTGATGCCAGATTTTAAACATTTATAAATATACAATAACTGTAGGGTAGAGAAAGTGTCAGGCTTTTCTGCCCTTCCGCCATCAGGATAGATGATGGATCCTTGTCCTGAATGCATGCCTGATGGTGGGCACCTGGAGTAGGGTGTGGGCATAGGTGGATGGGATTCAGCTGAGCTAGGACTGTGCTTTTAAGGGCGGCGTCACGGGGGGACGCCAGCAGCCCCAGCCAGCAGCAGCAGAACCTGAAGGAGAAGCCGAAGCAGAAGCAGAGAACGCCAGAGAACGCCAGAGAGCCCAGATAGAGTGAAGACTTGCTGGGGGCTGGGAGGCCTGCCAGCCTCCCAGTCCCCCAGCCAGCACCCCTGCCTGCCATATGCCTGGTGAACCCAAATAAAAGACCTGCAAAACCACTGAGGACTCTGACTCCTCCTTTACCCGGTCTGCATGGGATCAGAAAACCTGCACTCTGCCAATTCCTGCCTTTACAATTGGCGTATGTCGGCAAGATCCATGCAGACGGGTATTGGAGCCCTCCGAAGACCTGGAGGGACTAAGGAGAACAGACTTTGCCTGTGACGACGCTGGAGGCACCATGGCGGTATAGAAGATGGATACGTCCACGAGCTACAGGATGAGACCTGGCGTGAAGGAGACGCCCGAAAGGACCAGCCAACGACACCGGATAGGACCAGCCAACGACACCGGATAGGACCAGCCAACGACACCGGATAGGACCAGCCAACGACACCGGAAAGGACCAGCCAATGACCCCTGAGGCAGCAGGCCATTGCTGAAGCAGGGAGAGGCCAATGGACTGATAGACTGATGAACTGATGATTTTGGACTGACAATCCCGCCAGAAGGCGGAGGACCTTAGCAGGTTATGTTTATTTTTTGAGAATCTGGGGGTGGCCAGTGGGCCTAGATGGCCAAAAGCAGCCTGTGTATGCCCAGTGGCCAGGTGGAGGAGAAAAGCCAACTAAGGTGGCAAAAGCTGGTACTGATGCTAAGTTGAGAAGCCCTAAAGCGGCTGTTAAGCAGCCTGGTATGCTGAAGCCCTGTGAGTCTCGTAAAATCACCTATGGGTGATGCCCTGCTCATTCTTGAGTGAGGGTGAGGAGCTGAGGAGCCCGTCCTTGGGGGACGGGTGGGGAATGTGGCTTGGGGTGGAGCCCAAGCCAAATGCAAAGTTTGGATCCCCAACCCATGTGCTTGTGCAGTGGGTTGGCTTGAGAGCAGGGGTCTGTGAGTCGCATGGGTGGCCATGAAGGCCGAGTGTTGGAGCGACTGCAGACAGAAACCCTGAGGGTTGGCGATTACCCCCAACAGAATAAAATTGCCAATCCCAGAGCTAGTGCATCCTGGGGGTGGATGCTGTGTGTGCCTTGTAGCCGAGACTACAGCCAGAGAAGGCCAGGAAGCCTGACGGCTCCTGGTGTGTTATAGCAGATGCCGTGTGTGATTTCCCCTCCCTCGTATGAGCAGTGCCTTCGGCAGCAGATTTGGTGGCTCATCTGCTGGTACCAATAATTGTCTTTTGCACTTGGTTGGTGCCCTGCCTGGACTTATTTGTGTTCTGTTGTATTTTGTTATGTTGTATTTTGTTATTTGATGTATTTGCTTTTGTGGGCCATGGCTGCATTGTTTGTTTGCTTAGAAAATTGTGTATATATGTATAGACTGTATGGCAGAAAACCCTGAGGGGGTGGACTGTAGGGTAGAGAAAGTGTCAGGCTTTTCTGCCCTTCCGCCATCAGGATAGATGATGGATCCTTGTCCTGAATGCATGCCTGATGGTGGGCACCTGGAGTAGGGTGTGGGCATAGGTGGATGGGATTCAGCTGAGCTAGGACTGTGCTTTTAAGGGCGGCGTCACGGGGGGACGCCAGCAGCCCCAGCCAGCAGCAGCAGAACCTGAAGGAGAAGCCGAAGCAGAAGCAGAGAACGCCAGAGAACGCCAGAGAGCCCAGATAGAGTGAAGACTTGCTGGGGGCTGGGAGGCCTGCCAGCCTCCCAGTCCCCCAGCCAGCACCCCTGCCTGCCATATGCCTGGTGAACCCCAAATAAAAGACCTGCAAAACCACTGAGGACTCTGACTCCTCCTTTACCCGGTCTGCATGGGATCAGAAAACCTGCACTCTGCCAATTCCTGCCTTTACAATAACCCTTTGTGATTTTATCCCCTCTTATCACCCTCATAAAAGTTTTCATTTTATTTAATTATAGTGATATCATCTCACATATAGACACATTAAGGTGAGAGGCAGTATATCATATCACTACTTTTATGATCTCAAGATGATAATAATAAAAATTGTTCACTGTTATTGTATGTGGTTGATACAACCACATACAGGAAGCTGCAGGAAGGTGTGTGATTGTTGACTATGCAATCTTCAACAGCTGGTTCAGTTGGCATTCCATAAATATTTTCTGAATAACTTAATTGTAAATGAATGATTGAATTAATTGTAAAAGGAATGATACTTCTGTATAGATGCTATTGATTAACTCTGACTCAGGATGCTTGGCCATCCTGAGGAAACTGGATGTGTAAGTATGGGGCAGGAATGGACCACAGTCCAGGTTTTCTTATCCAGCAGACCTGGTAAAGGAGGAGTCAGAGTCCTCAGTGGCTTTTGCAGGCTTTTTATTGCGATTTACCAGGCACATGGCAGGCAAGGGTGCTGGGGGGTTGGGAGGTTGGCAGTCCTCCCAGCCCCCAGCAAATCCTCACTCTATCTGGGCTCTCTCTGGCGTTCTCTCTGCTTCTTTTCTCTCCTGCTCTTCTCATGGCTCTGCTTCTCTCTCAGCTTCTCTGCTCCTCTGCTTCTTTCTCGGCTTTTGCTGGCATCCCTGTGACGCCGCCCTTAAAAGCACAGTCTTAGCCCAGGTGAATCCCATCTACATATGCCTACACCCTACTCCAGGTGCCCGCCATCAGGCATGCATTCAGGACCACAGGGTTCCATCATCTATCCTGATGGCGGGAGGGCAGAAAAGCCTAATACTTTTACCTTACCCTACAGTAAGCAAAAGGAGAATGACAAAATCTTAGGTAAATATCTGTGGTGACCTGTATATTATGGGACAAAGGCAGTAAATTGAAATAAATTTCAAAGGGAAAAAAATCAAGTTTTTCTAAAAAATTACAAAATTATGGAAGAAATATTTATTTTACTTTTAAGCGATAGATACTTTAAAGAAACTATGTAAGGTCATTTTCTAGTGCAAGCAGCTGGTGGATAATTGATGCATTTACATTAAGTTCAATTAGGAAAACAAAGTTCCACCTGGAGGACTGGAGTATGTGAGCATGACTTTCTGCGTCTTCACTTCCCCCGCTGAATTTCTGGCCATACACTGATATGCACCTTGATCTGACTCACGAGTGTTTCTGATCATGAGAGTCCCATCATCAAACAAATTAAGTCGGGTATCATCTTTCAAATCCAATGAGTGGCTGGAAATAAATGTTTACATATGTTTTATTAAATCCCAATAATCTTTAAAACTTAAGAAAGATATAGTACCACAAATGTATTTCAAGTATATCAATTTGTTAACTTCTTTATTATTGTAATTAACGAAATTATTTGAATTGAGGTTCAGTTTTCCCCTTTCATTTAATTCCTGAGACAATATGCTGAACAAGGATTTCAAGACAAGAAGGAAAGAGATTTAAATACCTTTCCTTCCAGAGTAACATGAATTTATACACTGAAGCAATCTCTCCTGTGTGAAGAATATTTTAGTACATTGTCATAACTCTGAATTTCTACTAAGAAAAAGAGAAATCATCAAATGGTGATAAGCATGCTTTTGCCTCTTTCCTGTGGGTCATTCAGTACACATTCATATTTTGTTATAGTGTAAAAAATTCCCATTTCAGTCAACATGACTCAAAATCAAGCATTAGTATATGATTGTGCATTAAATAAGCACAATCTATTTACCCAATTATTAAATAGTAGACCATCTTAATTGACTTAATTGACATTAGTATATCCTACCGGAGATACTAGAAAAATATCATTTAATATTAAAAGGGAAAATTAATTGACTACAAGTAGTAATGACTACCGCCCAGAGAGTTCACACACATAACATGACATGTCATCAATAGTCATAAGAAAGGAAGTATTTTTATGGGTCATTTCAAAAAATAAATTAAAAATCACTAATATAAAACATACTGGGAATTTTACAGAATGTTTTTTGGCCAGGTTTCCCACACACACTTTAAAAATACTTAATGGTCATGCGTGAGGAGGCCTATAGGTAGTCACATGAGTATGCTTAGTACTAACTGACGTAATTAGTCATAAAATAGGCAATCTCTCCCCATCATTTATCTCTCAATAAACATTTATATACACCTTCTATGGCACCCACTGATAAGTTATTACAGGAAAATTCAATTTGAATTATTCCAGTTTTTCGCCTTTATTTTTTTGTTTGTTTGTTTGTTTTACAAAGTCAGTGGCTTTCAGGTAAACATTTGTCTATTAACTGTACAATGTGCTAATACTGAAAAGTAATATAGTAACTCAGATTGTTGTCATATATATAAAAAAATCATGTTAGAGAGATGAAGAAATCTCTTTTCGTTCCTGCTGAGAAGTCTAAATAATTCTCCAAAATTATATTGACAAATGGATGACTTCTAATTTTATAAACTTGTATTTGAAGAATGAAATCTTTATGAAATTGACTCTGCTGTGAGTTGAGGTTTAGTTTCTTTATACATGATCGATTTGGTGTATGTTCAGTAGTTACTTAAAAACAGCATAGTTCAGCTTTTCATGTAGTATATATGTGTATATATATATGCACATATCCATACAGATATCCTGAATTACACATATAATATACATAATACATATACATATCATTTATAAGGTCAGGATTCTTGTGTTATTTAGATGTTAAAATTAATATTTAATATTGTTTACCATGAAGAGGTCTGTGTCAATTCATTCTTGTAATTCCCTCAGTTTGTTTTATTTTTGCTTCTTACTTTGTTGGATATACAAAGATTTATGAATCTCATATCCCGGAGAATTGTTCCTTTTGTGACTAAGTATGATCTAATGATAGGCAACATACACTTTTGCCTCAAAGTTGAGGCAAAATTGGTTGACATTAATATAGCTATATCACCTTTATCTTGATGAATATAACTTTGTTATCTGTTTATCAATCTAACTTCTCTCAGTGCTGTAATGTTTTAAATATGCTTCATAAATAGCACACAAAGGAATTTTTATTCCATCCAAAAATGTCTTAACAAAGGCTTTTTAAGCCTCAACATTCACTGTCTTTACATATGTATTTACATTTATTTCCAATGAAATGCTTAGTTTTCTTTATTCATGACTTTTCTTTGACTTTTTCATTCTAACTTTCCTTCCCTTTTATCAGATTAACCAGTATTCTTTATTTACTCTGTCCCTTCTCTGTGAATTGAAGTTGAATGCTTGTTTTTTTAATATTTTACAATAATATTAGCATATTTTCTTGATTTACCAAAATCTATGTGTAATATAATCCTCCACATAAAATGAAATGGAATGTGATTCAGCTATGTCCTCTCTCCTTACCATTCTTAGTATTATCTAACATTTTACTGCTGCCTTACTTAAAATTCAGTCAATACTTTAACAATCTCATCATATTCAGATTTGTCAACACGATTTAAAAAATGCTTTATTCACCTTTGTTTCTTGTATCGCACCTCCCTTATGAATCCAATTTCCTATGTACTAAAGTGCATCCATTTGTTCTACTTTATTTATGTATTTTGACATCTCCTGTTTTCTTTAGTATTCAAACTTCATTGTTATTTGTGATACATGTTGAGAAAATAGACTATAGAAGATTAATAAGTGACTGAAATGTTTATTTATCCCAGAGCACTGACAACTTTTTTTCAGAGATGATCTTAGGTTTATTTAACTCATTTCTCCCCAAGGAACCCTTCAATGCTATTCTTGATTGAGTACAATTGGTAACGGGATCTGCCCTGGGATATCACATTGATCACACTGTATGCACTTGTTCTGTCCAGTGTTCCTGATTATTGCATGGGGTATAGGAGATTTATAAAGACTCATTTTGTCATTAAACATTGTAAACCTTTATCATAGTCAGATTCTGTTCAATTAAAAAGCTTAGCACATTGCCATTCACAGTGACAATGAATATTGACTTTATGATGAGAAATGATATAATCAATTTACTAGAATCCATCACTTCTCATAGGGACTATGATCCCCTGTGGTATCTTCCAATTGTCCTTTTCATTTATATGCTTTATATAATTTCTTTATAGATTATATCTTAATTCCTAGTTACACATTATGGATTATCTTTTGGGGGAAGTAAAAACACATTATACCATTTGTAAGTTTCAGTGAGCATATTGCCTAATGTAGTAGATACATATAAACATGTATATACAAAGCATGTGTATCAACCACATTAAGTTCAATACTGAAAGCCCAGTTCTACCTTTCTTATACCATTGTCCCTTTATCCTAACTTATTCACTGCCTTTCCCCCTTTCTCTCTGGTAACTACTAATGAATGCTAGTCTAACAGTTTATTTTTGTTTGTTCATCTGCTTCTTTTCTTAATACATCACATATAAGTGAGTTGTATGGTATTTATCTTTCTCTGTCTTGTTAATTTCACTAAACATAATTTCCTCTAGGACCCTTCATGTTAACATAAATGCATCTTTTTATAGCTATATAGTATTTCATTGTTTATATACACCACATCTTCAACCCACTCTTGTTGGGCACTTTGGTTGTTTCCAGTTAGTGGCTATGTTAAATAGTGCTACAATAAACATGGGGATGCATATATCTTTTAGAATTAGCATTTTTGTATTTTGATAAATACCCAGGAGTAGAATAACTGGATCATATGAAATTCCCATTTATAGTTTTTGTAACAATCTCCATACTGCTTTCCATAATGTCGGTACCAGTCTATAACCCCACCAACAGTGTATAAGTTGCTTCCACATCCTCTCCAATGCTTGTTGTTTCATGTTGCTGCAAATTGTAGAATACTCATTCTCACCAGTGTGAGGTGATATCTCAATCTTGTTTTGATTTTCATCTCTCAAATAATAGAAGATGAAGAACATCTTTACATGTCCTCCATCTATATGTTTTCATTGGAGAAGTGTTTATTCAGATCTACCTATTTTTCAATCAGGTTATTGTTTTTATAAAGTTTTATGAGGACTTTGTATAGTCTAGATATTAATGACTTTTCAAATAAATACAAATTTATCCAGATAAGTGCAGTATTTATATATTACAGACATGCAAATATCTTCTCCATTCAGGAGGAATTGTTTTCATTTCAATGTAAATTTCTTTTGATCCTTTTATTTATTTATTTTACTTCCTTTGCTGTTACTGATGGAGTGTTAGAGATGAGTCCCCAAAGACATTCCTGAAATCAATATCATGGAGTTTTATCTTTGTTTTCTTTTCTTTTTCTTTGTTTTCTTTAATATACTTGATGATATCAGGTCTCACATTTAAGTCTTTTTTTTGAGCATTAAATACATATATTTTAATCATATATGCATATATTATGTAGAAACATAAGTATCTACATTTATATCTTTATCACTATTTTATTATAATATTTTCTAAGTGTTTTATATACTTTTTTGATGATTAGTATTAAAATTTATTTTTTAATATATTTGATTTTATATAATTCTTACATTACTTTTCACTTTTGCACAGTGCATGCATTTTCATTTTGGTTATATTCCCCACATGAGTCCTACCCCCCTTATTTTGACCCTAATCCCTCCTCTCCTCTACCCTCCACCCCCGTAGTGTGTCTCTGGTTTTTATTTGCTTGTTGATTTTGATTTTTACTTCATAATAATTAGTCTTTTTCCTGGTCCCTTATTTAGGTTTTATAAATTCCTGCTATGAGTGAGATCATCCAGTGTTTTTCTTTTTCTTTCTGGTTTATTTCACTGAGTAAGACCCCTTCCAACTGCATCCATGTTGCTGCAAATTGTATGAGTAATATACCATTGTGTATATATGCCACAACTTCTTGATCCAGTCACCTATTTTGGGACATTTGGGTTGTTTCCATAGCTTAGCTATTGTAAATAGCGCTACTACAAACAGGGTGCAGGGGCCCTTTTGAATTAATGTTTCTGTGTCCGTTGGGTAAATATCTAGGAGTGAATCATATGGAAGCTCTATCTTTAGTAGGTTGAGAAATCTCCACACAGTTTTCCATAGTGGTTGGACCAGTTTGCACTCCCACCAGCAGTGCAGGAGAGTACCTTTTTCTCCACATCCTCACCAACATTTGTTGTTGCTAGTTTTTTAATATGTGCCATTCTCACTGGGGTAAGATGGTATCTCATTGTAGTTTTGTTTTCTTTTTTTTTTAAGATTTATTTATTTA